AGGCGAATTTATGGATCGACTGCGAAATTGAAAGCGTAGAGGCAGAGAATTATTAGAACGCCCGGGTTATATGTTCGAGTATATCCGCTTGCTCGTGACAGCTCGCCGCGAAGAGTGTGCAGCAAGAATTTGCGAGTATCACGAGGGGGGACCGGTAATTTCGGGTGACTGAATTCGCACTCGCGTCGGGTGCATGGGAGTTATCACAACGAGATGGATAGTCGTCAATAATCGAAAGCAAGAAAAAATATCAGCAATATTGGGGGACTTCAAATCTTAATAAAAAATATGTAATAGAAATCGCGAATTTAATAAGAAATAAAAGATCTAAATTTTTATTATGTTAACATATAATATTACGTCATTAAGAACTTGAATAAAATAGCGTAAATCAAAGTATTATCAGAATAAATCAAATACAAGACTTCTATTGATTAAAATACATGTTTAAAGAACTTAATTAAAATATATTTTAACAAAAAGAACACGGAATATAAACCATAAGCAAGAAGTTTTTCATGTTTTTATCAAGCCAATTTTTATAATCTGGATTAATTTAATAATGGTTTCGTACATCTCATTAGCGAATAAAATGTGACACAAATCATATTTGTTCGTCTTTCAATCAAAGAGACATTAATTAGAGATCGATACAAAAGTTTTTTATTCGCATGTCTGACCACTATACGATTTTTCTACTGCAGTTTTCTGACAAAAACTCGATATGTTTAGGATTCTCTAAAAATATTTATGTATAGCATATATGTGTGTGTTATCTAAAAAAATATATCTTTAATCAACTTAATCGGATAATTGCCATTGACAATAGCTTTTATATAATTTTATTTCCGGTGAACGAAGCTTTCGACGCGTCATCATACAATTGTGCGATTGATTTACATCGATATGTGCGTCCAATCGTCAAACGGAAGACGAGGGCCCTCTTTATACGACAATATGGTACCACTTAACTGTGGTAAACACTCGACGCCTTTTACTGCGTTTGCGGCTATTGCGCGAGCGGCGCGGGAAAATGCGAGTGGATGAGTGCGGCTTCGAGAGCGACAACGAGGCGCGTATACAGAGAGACCGAGGGGAGGAAGCGAGAAAGCCAGACGGTCGAAAGGTGCGGGTCCATGTCGCGTTTCTATCGGGTGTCACGTTTCGCAGTATCAATAGAAAAAAAAAAGTGCAACGTGCTCGTCAGTCGATATAGGAACATTTCCGAATGAGCGAAATTCAACGTCCGATGGTCGTCGATGTTTTCGCATGGACCGTCGTAATTACGGCAGTCGACGGCAAGGTGCTACATGTCGCGCTTCTCTTCGCTCCTTCCTCTCACTGTAATTTCGCGTGTTTTAACTACGTGGTTTGACCGGACGAAAAGCCCGACCGAGAGAATTAAATCATTCGATACCCGCGTTTAGAAAAAAAAAAAAAAACGCTGCACTGAGTGTACGTGACAACGACAATTATCGAAGTGGAAACGGACAATGTCGAAATAACGGACAGGCAAAATCAGGGAAAATTTAACGAGATATTTAGTAGCGAATTATCGGTAAATGTAAAAATAGAATTAATTTTTTTATTAAAGCGAAATTCCCTTAGTAACTGCAGATTGACATATTATCATTATGTAAAAAATAAACAACAATAATATAATCAATAAAAAGAATATTATAGCATACGATCGATCAAGGAAGGATTTTCCGATACAAAAGAAAACAATGTATACGTCGCCACTTAAAACGAATTCACCGTTAAATCTTTTCATATCGATAACATAAAAACGCAGAAGAAAGTTAGAAACCGCAACGAGAAAGGCAAAGATTCGCACGAGTTTGGTCCGCATAAGCGCTTCTTAAAACTTGCCGTAACCGAGTACGCTTCGCGAACGGGAGTACAGTGGCTTGGTTGGTTCAAGTACCCGGGCGGACGATTCTCACTCTCTCAAAAGAAGTCTCTCTCTCTCTCTCTCATTTCTCGGTCTGTCTGTCTGTCTATCTCTCCCTCTCTCTTTTTCTCTTTCCATCGCCGGTAGTATTCCTCGTCGCTCTTTTGCCCGGGATGCTCAACCCCTCAACATGCGACGTATACAAGGGTGTGCACTCAAAAGTATATTCACTCATGTAGACACTGGGGGTCTCTTGAAGTCTTTACGCGAGCCGGGATGTAAAGATGCATTCACACCAACGAGAATTCTCTCAGGATGCCCGTCCCCGACGATTTACGAGCAAAAATAAAAGAAGAATAAGGCTCTTAAAAATTTCTTGGGCGTCAAAGGTTTGTAGATGTTTGCCGAGAACTGTTTTCTTCTCAACTATTATATCCTGTGTCTGACTAGCGTCTTTTTAAACAATCTTTTCTTGTTTATTCTGATCATATGCAAATATTTTATATATAGTTAAGATTGCAAATTTTATCAAGCTTTTTTGCTTATTTTTTTTCTAATATTTTCTGTTATTACAAATGATACGCAATTAATTTATATATATATATATATTATTGGTATTATTAATTCCTTTACTATCTTCAATATGTACATTATCTCTAGACCTAAACCTTGTTATATAGTTGTTATACTTCGTATCAATTTACAATATTCAACTTTTAACTATCATGATTATTTAGATAACGAGTTTTCAAATGTTCCAATATCCACAAGAACGGTAACACTTCCAGTTTCGTAGTAGCGAGGTAAATCTAACGGAGTTTGAAGCATGACGATCCTTCACCTTCGGCTACACTGTATCTCCGATGATAGGAGGTCATATGTTCTCCTGTCGAAGTTCAAAAGCTTCGATCCAACTTTGAAGTTTCATTGTCATTCGTTCAATCTGCGAGTTCTCTGGTATGAAATCGCGACCACGAGAAACGACTAAAAACTTTCTACGCTCACGAACTTTAAATTACATATTCGTAATTTAATGTCTTAATGTTTTCGTGAATATTCGTATATAATGTTTATAGTCGAAATTTCATAAAACTGTCATAAAACTTCTAATTAACATCGACAATTATGATAGTTGCAAAACTAACAGAGATGAAGAATTAATTCATTCTTTCGCATTTTGAAGAAAAAAATAACGCTTATTTCGAATTTTATCCAATTTTTTTTCGTGCGTGTCTTTGAATATTTATCAGGTTATCTATCGAAAACTGAAAATATCTAATATAGAGTTTCTATATGAACACACAGTTAAGAAAGATGTATCTTTCATGAAATTGAAACATCTTTCTTTGTTGATGCTACGAGTTCTGACAATACTATTCTTCGCAAGCCCGCATTCTCCACGTTTTATTCAAACTGCGATCGATCGGCAAATCTTGTCTCTCGTCGTGCCATCGACCATATCGTAGACGAGTGACGGTCGAATATCGACGGAATCAATATTTTCTTCGGCCTCGCCGAAACGTCGTAAAAAGCGGACGATAGAGATACTACTCGATAACAGTATAAAGTTGGCAATACAAGATTCACTTCGAATATTTTTACGAATATCAAAAGGAGCATACGATTCGTTTCGTTCGAAAAACTGGTGAGAACTCTTTCACGACTATTTATTTGTAATTATATATATATATATATATAAATATATATTCTAAATGTCTATAAACGTCATTTATGTATTTCTTACATTTTAACTCGCCAAAACTCGTTTATCTCTTACTATTCACAAATCAATGATTACTCGATTATTTATATATATATATAAATATATATAAAATATGTAAATGACAGAAATATTATAAATATAATGTCGAACGAGATTACCGGAAAAACACCGACTTATTACAGCTCGGTGTCTTTGGCCGACTGCGATTAAAGATCTTTTAATTAAAGTTGGGGCGAGATTTTTCATAAAGTTCTAACTTTTCTTTGTGATTACTCGTTATTCAGATTGAAAAAGGAAATTAGATCGCCGCGCGCGACAATACACCTATCGAATCGATCGCTCGCTTACGAAGTGCGTCTGCTCCATGAGAATTAATTTAAATCCTTTTAATTAGACAAGCGCGCGCTACTGTTTTAGTGCTCGCAAACGCAGTCACGTTTTAATTACTTTTCTTCAAACAAAAAGAGACTATGACATATAATCTGTGAGGAAAAAAATAAGATTTTGGTTAGATCTCTCATTTAATTGATGACGAGCACTCCAAGATGAGATTAAACAAACTTCGATATCTCGCGCTTTCTATGTAAAAATTCAGAATTAAAGCGTGTAATATAGAGACTACAAAGTAATTGCATTTGCATGCGAATTCTACGATCCTCCGCGGCATTTCCCGATGCATCGATTTGCGCGGATAACCATACATATTGCATTTAGATAGAATTTTTGACACGGCAATTTTTGATATGTCTCTCCTCTGAGAATGAACGTGGTACTCCGAAATGAATGTAGAAATGCAGGACAATTAAAAATTAATTATTTCGTCTATATATGCCTGAATTTTTCACGTAATGATAATGTATATATAATCTATTGAAAATAATAACACTGGAGTGGTTTTTGAGTGTTTCATAAATTACAATATTCCGCAATATAATTAGAAAAACATGCTGTTTGATAAAAAGCTATATACTCTGTTATACGAGAATTTGCTCGCGTTAACACTTTTATGAATGATGCTCTTGTATATGCTTGCAGACACATATGAATGACATACATACACCAGGAAAGTGCGTGAGCGGGTTGAGAATTAATTATGTGTCATGTGAAAAAAATGTATTCGCGCGATAAGCGGGGCTGGTGAATGTCATGAATAGTTTCAAATCGCGGTGAGTGACTGCGTAAACCGGCACCTCTTCACGTGCATGACGACGCTAGTATTATTCTAATCGCGAAACGAGATAACTCGAGGGCATTACTTACACATATTCCGTACGTTATTCCAATCGATCCCTTGCCGCGGTGCCATGAAATAAGTAATATCGCGTGTTGTGAGTACACGCACGAAAAATTCGCGGATAAAACGATACGTAAAATGGCACTTACCCAGACTGAATCCGGAATCCTTCACGTGAATGACCACCATCGGCATCAGTACCGTCACGATGAGGTTTATGACGTGGAACACCATCCCTGGGCCGTGAGCTATGATATTCTGCGACACAAAATAAAAAGATACACAAGTTATGACAGGAAGTGACTTGCACACAACACGCAGTGTATATCGCGAATGCGAAAGTGATGACGAAGAAACTAAAATGATGAACACTGTTATGAGAGTAAGTACAATTTTCTGTCGCAAATTAAAAGCAATTAGGAAGATAAAGAAAGAGAAAATAAAAACTAGTATAAAAACATACATATATACAGTTATTGTCGCTGATCGCAACATCCACCAATGACGTTACGTGTCAGTCTGTCAGTCATCGCTTCGCGCAAGCTTATATATATATATATATATATATATACCTATGTATTTGTGTGTATATAATCGCAAAAGATTATTAATTGCATAAATGTCAATGTAAATAATTAAACGTGATGAAAAACATTGTATCATGAAAAACATATCGTGCAAAAACAATGAAAGATTATTACAGTTAAATAAGTTTTGCGTTGATATATTTATAATTTTATATTTCGTCAAGCAAATATTTTTCTGTTTACGCTTCCAACGTGCTCGGTTGAAAACCTATGGGATTCTGGATATGTGTAAATCACATCGCTATGTTGGTATGCGTGATGTATCGGAACCGAGATGTAATCCGCGGCGGCCTGCGGTAAAATTTACGAAAAGTTAAACGTTATAACAAAAGTGGATTATTTAAACCTACGTAACTCGTTACGATGTGGATGATGAATTGATGGAATTCAAGCGAATTTTTTACTATCTATTATATTAATGAAATATTTTCCTTTTATTCTCAACATAAAAGTATAAATAATTATTCTTTGGTTTTATCTTTTTATAAAAATAAAATTTTTAGACAAATATCGTAACCATGCAGAAGTTAATTTTCATTTAAGATTACTCTTGAATCCAATTCAAATACGAACAGCGCTTATAAATAAACATTACTTTAGCAAAGGATAAAAGCCTGTATGTGTGCAAACGTAATTGCTTTAAATATTCAAAACGTAAGATTATCACGAGATTAATTAGCAGAATAAAATATGTTACAAAAAAACGTACAAATCACGGCCGTCATCACAACGTTCGCAAAATTGAAACACGGTATTTCATTCGTGAGATCGCACAGTTGGCTCCGCGCCTGTTATATAGGATTCAATAAAAAATTACGCACCCGTCTGGAACAAAAGGTTAATTATTTAAACGCACTGTCGGATCCGTTTGACAAAGTATCGCATGAACGTGATTTATCACCGGCAAGTTATCATGGCGCGAAAACAAACGTCTCGATGTTGGCGGTGAGAAACATTCGCTCGTCCGGAAAATATTTTCGCTTCTGCGTCGCGCATTGCAGCCTCAGCTGCAAAAACAATAGCGCCCTTCTTATTTGCATCCTCGTACTTCGTAAAGTTTTGTATCCTGAACTAATTATCCCCCCTAGGGGTTTAGAATAGATTCCATAAAGAATGCAGTTTTACAGCTTCTTCGAAACTTAACCGGCGAAGAATGCACGAGATCTTCAGAGGATAGTTAAGAAGAAATTTCTCTTCGTCGAAAGCACATTGTCTGCCGAAATCTGAACTAATTAATGAGCTACAGTCGCGGGAGATAAGATATTAAAGAGATTTATAATTTTAGAATTTTCAAACCAGTTATATCACACAAAGAACTCAAGTCTTTTAAAATTATTTAAATCTGATTTGTAACAACTGTAAAAATTTAACAACTAAAAATTTACCGGTAGAAAAACGCGCACGCACTTATAACATATACATATATTTAAAATAATGAAATTTGAAAAATATGTAACAAGCGATATCACGCAGTTAAAGGTTAAAACCCTCTTGCGATTTAGAAATCACCCAGCATTCGCATAACAATATGGAACACAGAAAGCACGTTTTCTGTTCGGTCAAATATTTACGGAGCGCTTGACCCAATTATGTCGCACAAAAGAATACCATGAATTTACGGAGACCGGCGTACGTCTAAACATTTATGCAGCAATACACATCGCAGATTCCCGACACACAAAAAGTAGAATTAACACAATTTTTGTATTCTTTTGAACATGTTAAAACGGATTTAATACCGTATCATACAGAAACGACGAAATTAATGACAAGAATTTATTATCACGTATACAAATGTAAGAAACATAATTTTTAGTAACAAAAAAATTTTTGCTGAAAATCAGTAAACTTAATCGTGATTTAAACAATATTCAAGTGTTACCAAAATAATTTTTAAATTGATTAGTATCCTCATTATCATAATGCTTTATCTTTTAATTAATAAATAAAAATAATTATCTTTTAATTAATAAATATAATTTTTATCTTTTAATAAATAAAAATAATTATTTTTTAATTAATAAATAAAAATAATTCTTTAGTTACATAAAATATTAATCTGCGCCATTTTTTGCTAAAGATAAGCGCAAGCGTGTACAAATGCTGAATAAAGACAAAACCCTATATTCTGAAAATGGATACATTTATCACAGAAGTCATCATATCTTTACTACAAATGCGCCGCATATCACATTGTTGATGGTTGACAAAACAGTTAAAAATACAGTTTGCAAGCGAACGTGACCGATAAGTTTTCCGTGCCATGAGATAACTGTGCGTTAAATTATCAAACGGAATCAATAGCACACGAGCGACTCGCATAATAAAATCCGACAATTTCATTCGAATGTAAGCGCGATCACGTAAATGATCGCGAATGCATGCGAAAACGCGAGCAGAAGTTATCCACGCGCGCGATATGTTAGTTCTGAGTATTAATTTGCTACATATTATTCATACGAGACTGCGCGAGCCCCGCGTCAGCCGAATTATTCATACAACGTTGTAATTATGCGTTCGTCATTAGCCGAATTATTAGTCAATTAGCGGCCGGCGATTAATCAGTGAGTGGTAATTACTACGTGAGCCGATCCTATCGCCAGAGTTTGTATGTCAATGACGGGATTTCGTTTCAGAAAAGGAAGCCGACAAATCGAGTTCGACGTTTAGATAGACATAGCGGATTATATCGAACTGATAATGCATCACGCGTTAAGTATTCGCGTATCACCTAAACATATCGTTGTAGTTTACATGAAAATACAAGTGCAAATATATACATCTTAAATATATATATTCTTATTTCAATTTGTTCTTCGATTTTTATATAATTCAAAATTTTTTTATTTCTGACATTGCAAGTTTATTGAATTCTTCGCGCGGAATAATTGAAAAGTCACGCGTTCATCATTACATATCATACGTTGCATGTTACTCGATCCATAACAACTTTTCGATCCACGAATAATCATCGCAAAATTATTATAATGGTATAACGTAATTATATTGACATTTATATAACGGACTATGTGACACAAAAAAATAACTGACGAACATGTTCGCCGTAAGGGAATAAACACACAACGATGCACGATAAAAGGTCCATTAATGCGTCTCTATTTTGTATGACGCTCGGAATCAACGGACTTCACAATGTGAGAATGACTGGACGCATTTCGTCGGCCGGTGATCACTTTTACGACACGACGATAAGGGAACATCGTGCGAGAGATTTCCGACGTTAAAATCCCGCTGCTGTCCGCCGGCATTATCAGCGCAGATAAAGCACTATGTATGGCACCGTACGCGTCGACTTTCACCCTCGCAACCGGGAAAAATATCACCGCCCTTATCTACCAGCCGTGGGATCGTCAAATCGATCGAATTGATTCGTTCGCAAACTTCGGCTAAGTTACGGCCAATAATCTGTGCTGACTTTAAACGGTATTCTTGGACATTATGACGGTTGTTTGAGTGGTAGTAAAAAACGCCATTGCAGGACCACTGATAGTTTTAATGACGTAATTATTGTAAAAAAAAAAACATCGTTTCAAAGTTCACAATTTATTTATAATAAGCGAATTTATGATATAGAATTTTACTAAATCTAGCATAAATAAGTTTATATACTGCATTTCTATATCAATGCATTTTATTAATAATAAATACATAATTTTTTATAATTCCCATAAAAGAGACGAATATGACAATATAAAAACAGTTTGTGAAATAGAATGAAACGGGGTTTTTTTTTTTCTTACATCGTTAGCAAAAAAGGCGGACAATGTAACGTTTCGGAATATTTCGCAGAGATGAACCTGACAGTTCATCGATATAAAAGGCTGAGTGAGAGAGCTCGGGGAAGGGTAAAACGCAACAAATGTCTCCCCTGATAGTGTTTCTGTATTTTTCTCTGTAGTTGTAGAAAGTTACTTGCCACGAGTTACTCCCTCATATCATTATTATTTAGTCTCCGTATCTTTATAAAAAAATAAAGAAAAAGAAACAGTCTGTCGGAGGTGAAAAGTGTGCAATGTGTCCCTCGGTTCCTCATGTTTATTTCTCTTTGTCTTTCTCTTTATTTTTGATTGCTCCTCGATGTCTGCCGCGAGTGCGAAAAGAAGAAGAATAAGAAGTGAAAAAGCACACGAGCAACTTCCCTTCAAGACGCGAACTTTCTTTCTAAGGTTTCATATAATAAAACTCGAATGAGTTTATTTTCGTGATAAAATGAACAGATCTTGATAAAGCGCTTGTTTATTATATCCAGTTTTTATTGACTTTATAATCGCTCTATTACGTTAAATATAAAATAATTTAAGTAAAGGAAATTAATATCGCGCATATATTTAAAAAATATTGAAAAATACCTTCCTTTATCGGCAATGCTCATTAAAATATGCGTCCATATCGCTTTGCATTAGACATGCTATCCAGCATACATTAACAAAAATATGAGAATGATTACAGTGCACACTTTTAATCGAGAGAATAAATTAATTAATCGTACGCAAAATTCTACAAAGCTGTTACTGATGCAATGTCTCGCCAATTCTTTTATTTCCAATCGATGCAATGCGAAAGCGTCGACGCTATTAAGGGCAATAAATTACAATGTAACGCCTCCCTTGTCGAACGAGTTGCGGTATCGCGCGACTATCGTTCAGTCGATTACCCGGATATTGGATTTGCTCACTTTCCGCTCGCACGCCCCTTATACATATGTATACCAAAATATTTGGAAGAAAAATTCACTCACCACAGACAGTCCTTTCTCGATCAGCAGACAAAGGGCCACTGGTACGGTGGAATCTGCAAAACAAACAAAACAAAAGGGTTAGTTTATCGATCATACGGCTCCACGTCGCTTCTCCTCTCCGCGAATTTGTCATTCTCTCGTTCTTTTACTCTCTTTCTCGCTTTTTCCCTCTTCTTCCCTCTTTTTGAAATCGGCCGAACATCGAAATGTGCAGTCGACCGATCGGCAGCCGAGCTGAAGAGAGGAAGTGACAAGGGCTTGTCACTCGGAGTGACGGTATAGAAGCAAGTGAGAGAGATGCGGAGAAAAAGAGAAAGAAGAGAGGACAGGCGAGTGTGTGGCGAAAGCTGCGCAGTGAGGATAAATGCTGCCAGTGATCGAGAGCGTCGCTCTCGAAGCGCTCGGTAGGGAGGACACAAAAAAAGAGAGCAAGCCGATATCGAACTAGCAGCGACGAAAGCGCCTCGTCGATAAATCATCCAAAATAGCACTCGATATAAAGCGGAAGTACGATTGGGCGTACATCGAGCTCGACGCGCGCCCGGAGTTCACGGAAAACAATATCGTTCCCGATTCCAACTCTATCTGCAGAATAAGAACGAAATGTGTGTTTCGTAATCGTTTATTCGTCTAAATTTTTATCGCAGAGTCGTCTGTGAAATTGCGTTCCAATGCGGCCCTATATTACCGCGCGAAGAGACTGTCGCATTCCGGAAATTTCAGAACATAAGTTATGAATCCGTCGTTGCAAATTCTACGATTTATTGTTGGAATGACAAGGATAAATGCTTTGGTAAATTTTTGTATTAAGGTAAAGTTGTTGCAAGATCATTATTTTAAAATTATTCGTCAAAATTAATAATTAAATCGTCCCATTAGATAATTTTTAATTATGCGTCACATTAAATATTTTGTCAAATAAATCTTTTCTTAAAAAATAAAATCTGCTGTTATGTATTTTTGTCTTGAAATCTACTCCGCAAGATTCTATTTTGATGTTCAGTTTTGAATATATTTTTGTAAGAGAGCTTCTGTTATTTAAATATTCTCGGAAAACCCATTAGGATGTGCTCTTCTCTTAATCTACGTACATATAAAAAAAATATCGTAGGAGAATATATATCGTATTAATAAATCGTGGTACCTATGGAAACAGTATCCGATTATACATTTGCTCTTCTAATCGAAGAGCCAAATTCGATATATTAAATCGGATTTGTATCGTATACGAAAATTACGCCCGAATAGGATAATTCAAGGATCGATCCTAACAACGGGGTTTGACGAAATACAAAATTTCTCCTTTATTTCATGTCGTTTCTCTTATCGTCCCTCGCATCGTTGCCAGAATCGAGAACATTCGGACACTTTCGAAGATTACGTGGATTTTCAGCGTGGATGAGACACGCGATAGCGGTCGCTGTACTCGGTAAGATTTCACTGCGAGTGCCTCATCGTATTCCTCGAGCTATCATCCGCTCTGGGATAAAATATAGGCGAAACTTAAATAAGTTTAAGAGATGCAACCGGGTGATAGGCAAACTCGCAGGATTGGGAATTGCGAAAGCATCACGTCGAAGGAACCAGACGCGAGGATCCGGAAATGCATGCGCCTGCGGCATCAAGAATTTTAGTAGTATGAGTTATTAATGTTTTAATGAAAACATTGGCTATGCATTGTTTTCAAGAAATTTGATCTTTTCGACGCTGATGCGAAACGTATTAATATATTAATACATCACGCAATCTGCAGCTGTCAAGCTTCATTAAAGCAGGAAAATTTTCGTCCGGCTACAAATAATATTACAAAAACAGATTTTTGCTTTAATAAGGTTCGGACATATTTCTCCAAAGAGATTTTTAAAAGTTATCAAATTTGAATATTTTAACTAGTTAATTACTGCCTGCCACTTTTGCTTGAAATGTCTAGATTACAAAAATAATCGAGTTATCTTTATCATGACAAATTGTGTCGTTTTATGAAATCTTTATACAAGGAACGTTATTACAAGATATAGGTCGAATATAACAGATCATGCATAATTACTAGTTTTCACGTTACACGCAAGTATCATATATTACTGTAATGATTGTACGAGAGTATTTTTGTCTTTGCAACTATAATTAAGTACGCGAACGTTACGCTGAGTTCCCCTAAAGTTTTTTATGCTAATCCCAAATTAATTTCAGCTAACAAAGAAAAGAAGTCGCATGCTGACGCGTGTAAAATGTCAAGCAGGTAATCAAGAACACATTAGTCACAATTAGTTGCTCTACAGTAATTCCCATGTAGAGTCTAAACTTCTCTCCTTTCATTATTACTCGGAAAGTAAAGTCGTTTGCACAATTGATAGAATTTTCTATTAACGAACTTTTTAATGCAGATAATGTTTACCGTAAAATAAGATGCAAAAATAATTACACACATTGCAACATGTTATAATAAATCGAATGCAGCTTTTGCATTCTTTCAACCGATTGAACGATTGATAGAAAGCTTGTTTGAGACTTTACTACTTTGAATGAACTTCGATAATGACATTATTATCACTTTACGGCTCAATAAATGTTTTCAAATTTCCCCTACGAATTTGTATGTTAACTTGATTTACGAAAACAAATGTTACCCAAGAGGATTATCAAACTCATTGACTTGTTGTTGCAACGTATCAAAATTTATATTAGTGTCAATATATACTCTGTTACAGAGTATTATTTCATCGTAACTAATGCGTTAGAAAAAATAATCTCGTTAAAAGTCTTATATAATAACAATAATAATAATAATAATATTATCAAATCAAAAAATAAAATTTAACGATTAATTAAAATTTTACGATTATTTTCAACACAAACGTAATGTATAACATCGTGCGAATAAAAGTTTTTCAACTTGTCTTTTCTACTTATCATCATTTTACTTATTGTCAATTTTCATTCGTTTTTTGTGCTTTGTTAAGCACAAAGAAATTCGAGACCGGCCCGTATCGGAGCGCGATGAGCAAAGGTTAAGCGACGATTGTTACAACATGCTCACGTCGGCTAATTACGAGCTCTTTGAATTCGAATACGCTTCACAAATTACTGTTTTTTGGCCTCTGGCGTTTTGTAGGCTCGCTTTATCAGGCAAATTACGAGCGCGCGTAATCGTGAAGGAGAAAAAACGCGGAGGCGTTTATTCGGTGAATGAAGTGCATCGTTCAAAGTGCATAAAACGTTCCAGAAATTGAAAGCACGGCCGCTTTAAGAGGATTGAATAAGAGGATTGAAATAAAGCAAAGGGAAACAATCCCTTTTGCTCAATCGATGAATAAGATATCCCACTGAAAATACCTCGATAACGTTCCTACTTACGTAACAAAAATCCTTTCGAAATACGAAAAAGGAAAAAAGAAGAGAAGTGAATGAGCATAAGTTAAACATAAGTTAAAAAGTTAAGTCGCTGTGGAAGATGCGCGAACTCTATATAATTGCAAGTTTGTTCATTAACAATTAACACCAAAATTATATTTACGATAATAATATCTACAAACTAATATCCACAAAAATTACAGTAAAAATAAATATTATTAATATGAGAGAGAAAAGTTCTAACATATCTACCCAAATCGTAGAATTTAAGAGATTTTTTCTAACTTGAAACTCCGCAATTTAAAAACGTTTGCTGCCCGTAAAATGTTTAATAAAATTATCCATCTTTCCCACAAGCGTTTAACTTGTAAATCCTGCCAATCAATCTATGTCCAAAAGTCCAGAGATAGAATCTGGAAAACGCCGCGAGGCAACAAAATTCCTCTCGCTCTTCTCGTGGTGAAATAGGTGGTGGAATACGAGCGCGAAAGTGAAAATTGTTAGTGATGAACACGAGGGATCGCATCGTTGTTGGAATATTGATAATCCGGAAAACGTATCGGTTTCGGCGTCTGACACTCCAGCGTTGGCGTTAATTAATGAAAACAAACGACGTCTCATATTTCAGAATATCTCCGACTTTCCTCTCCCGTCGCTCGTTTTCTCGCACTTTTTTTTTTCTTTTGCGATAGTCCGACAGATAGGAGATTCGAGGAGAAATTTGGAGAGAGAGAAAGAGAGCGGTGAGGAGGAGATGTGTATAAATCCGGCCGATGTCGAGCACGGCTCGCTAATAGATATTAATGGAACCCTTTTCGTCGTGGAAATTCGCTCGGTTTTTCACGCCGACTGCGAGGCATGATCGCAAAAGCCTTCAGAGCTCGCTTCGTCCGAGAGGAATTAAGCGAGGAAAAAATGGGTTTTGACGAGGGTCGGAAAGCATAAGGGGACGAGGAGGGTTAATGGGCGACGGGCAAATCACGCGTTGCAAATCGAGCCGCGGTGATTGCGCTGCGTAATTTCGTCACAAGCGCATGCATTTTTTCTTTGATCTACTTTTGAACTCCATTTGGTGTCCCGAAAACAATGTTTCACGAACGACGGTTTGTTTCATGACGTATACGGGCCGAATTTATGAACGATGGACGGTTGCCGTTAAAACGATACGGCGATACCAACAACGTTGCGAGGCCGGCATTCGAACGCAATTTTATCGCACGAGCGCTAGCGAACATCAACATCAAAAAATCGATGAAATATTTCGGCTTGTTTGGCGCTGAGTTCGTTTATTCTTATTTGCCATGCAGTATGTCATAAGATCCAATATATAAAAGCCAAAAAAAAAGTTATTCAAGCAAAAACAGACTTTTTGACAAAGTTGGATACATTATTTTATCTCGCGAAGATATCAGAAAAATCAATCTTAATATTTATTACATTTTCTTATCCATATTGCGTTTAAAATTGCAATCTGCGCTGGAAGTTTTATTACAAGCAAATTTATATGTTGACTGAAGACACGAAGTTTGTTTCTTGTTTCATCTTTCGCATTTTAATTTAGATCAACCGTTTATGTATTTATAAAATAAATATGAACTTTTAAATATATATATATATATATAATATCAATTATGTATTTTCTCAAAGAGATATTACATTTTTTTTATTCTTCATTATTTTTACTCTTGCGAGATTTACTTTT